TGCAAGTGTAAAACACATCGTTCTTGATATGAATTTGTGTGTTACGGTAAAAATCTGTGAAAGTTTAAAACGTCCTGGTTCTTGATATGGCTTTGTCTGGTAGGGTAACATTGTATGTAAGTTTTAAACGTACCGGTTCTTGATACGATCTTGTCTGATAGGGTACCCCTCTGTAAACGTTTAAAACACCGCGGTTATTGATATGACTTTGGCTGGTAGGGTAAAAATGTGTGCAAGTTTAAAACACCGCGGTTCTTCATATGACTTTGTCTGAATGGATAACAATATGTGCAAGTTTAAAACCCACCCGTTCCTTATATTGCTTTTTCTGGTAGGGTAAACATCTGTGAAAGTTTAAAATGCTCTGGTTCTTTATATGAATTTTTCTGATAGGGTAAACATTTGTGAAAGTTTAAAATGCCCCGGTTCTTGATATCGCTTTGTCGGTAGGATAAACATCGCTGAAAGTTAAAACGCTCAGGTTCTTGATATGACTTTGTCTGATAGGGTAACGATCTATGAAAGTTTAAAACGCTCCGGTGTTTGTTGATATGACTTTATGTGGTAGGGTAAACATTTTTGAATGTTTTAAATGCTCGATTAGTATACGCTGTTAGTCTGGTAGGGTAAAACTGTAAGTTATAAGGCGCTTTGTTGTTACAATGTAGTCTGCTGCTAGTCTGATAGGTTGACATCTAAGTATGGACTATTTACGATAAGGTCAACCCGTTATTAATGATACTGTTTACTTGATATAGTTTCCTCTGTCTGGTAAGGTTCACATTTCTGTATCGATATCTTTGTTTCACATCATTTGCGCTCGTGTGCTAGAATAAACATTATTGTTACAATTTTTACCAGTGAAATAGAATAAATTGTCGATTTGATAAAAAAATATTTCGTCACTGCAGTGCCTATAAGAGTACGGAATGATATATGTTTACATGTGCTTACAACACTTTTAGGGTTGACCAAAGAGAGCTGATTTTCACTGCATTAAACCCCGCAGATATCCGTTCAGCTTTTGACAAAGTGACGTTCGAATATTGGGGTGTTTTGAAACACCCTTACATAAACCAAATGGTATCATGTTGTACGGTAGCAGTGTACAATAGAAATGGCTCTGAAAAACAAGGCACATGTCGAGGAAATGTAAACACAGCAGAGTTACCCTACACAACACGTATATACATGTATATATATTTGTAAACTGCATTATATTTTTATACGATGGCCGAAAGCGGCCAGACACTTTTGAAGCATTTATACTTCGTTTGTGTACCATGGTACACATTTGTGTGGTACACAAACGAAGCATTTATATTTTGTTTGTGTACCACGGTATACTTTTGTGTGGTACACAAACGACGCATTTATACTTCGTTTCTGTACCGCGTTACACTTTTATATGGTACACAAACGAAGCATTTATATTTTGTTTGTGTACCACGGTACACTTTTGTGTGGTACACAAACGAAGCATTTATACTTCGTTTCTATACCACGGTACACTTTTGTGTGGTACACAAAAGCAACAGTTATACTTCGTTTCTGTACCGTTAGCCGAAAGCGGTCGGACATATTTGAAGTATTTATACTTCGTTTGTGTACCACGATAGACTTTTGTGTGATACAAACGAAGTATAAATGGTTCGTTTGTGTACCACACGAAAGTACGATGGCCGAGGGTGGCCAGGCACATTTGAAGCATTTATACTTCGTTTGTGTACCACGGTACACGTTTGTGCGGTACACAAACGAAGCATTTATATTTTATTTGTGTACCACGGTACCCTTTGTGGTATACTTTTGCGTTACAGTTTTATTGTTCGTTTCTGTCCTATTCTACAGCCGAAGGCGGTCGTGGTACAGTTTGAAACAGACAATGGCCTTTTGACACTAAAAGCTTCTGGAATGATCAGCATTCAAAATGTATCACAGTAAGATTATATGAAACCAACCCTTACGTTTAGAAATTGTACGGTAGCACTACAGCATCCATTCATTTAGGTATTCCAAATTATTAAAATAGTCGTTAAATTAATGGTTATTTTATTGTTAAAAACCAGCGGTTGTCACGAGTAACAAATAAGAATAGTTTAAATGGACTTTTCGTAGTTTTTTATATGTTTTATTGCGATGATTTTTTGTATAGGAAGAGAAGCGGTAAGGTACCTTTATATTCCACATCATCAACCCGTTATGTTTTAATCGGAAAATTAATAGCTCAGGGTCAGTTTCGGTCATTTGCTATCAGTGACCGCACTCGGCCACACAATAGTGTACCGTGGTACACAAACGAAGTATAAATGCTTCAAATATGTCCGGCCGCTTTCGGCTAAAGTGACACAAACGAAGCACACCTGCTTCAAATATGTCTGGCCGCTTTCGGCTAACGGTACAGAAACGAGGTATAAATGCTTCGTTTGTGTACCATATAAAAGTGTACCATGGTACACAAACGATGTATACATGCTTCGTTTGTGTACCACACGAAAGTGTACCATGGTACAGAAACGAAGTATAAATGCGTCGTTTGTGTACGACACGGAACTGTACCATGGTACAGAAACGAAGCATAAAAGCTTCGTTTGTGTACCACACGAAAGTGTACCCCGGTACAGAAACGAAGTATAAATGCTTCGTTTGTGTACCACACGAAAGTGTACCATGGTACCATGCCTGGCCGCCTTCGGCCATCGTATATTTACAATACATATAAAGTACTGAGAAATGTATAAACCGGTTTTTTTCTATGTGTGATAACCATGGTTACCACATCAAAAATTACCAAAAAATGCCAAATAATGATATTTTTGACCCAAAAGTTCTGTCTGAAATTAAAGATTACCTAATTGGTTGCAGAATTATCTGTGTCCCAGTAAAGTTGTACAACTTGATTTTTTTTTTGCTTTTTCGCGTCGTGTGCTGTTGTCGAAATTGTTTCGTCTGTAAAGCTAGCTTTCATGTGTAGGCACCCTTTCGGATTATGGCCAAAATTGTATTCTCGAACCATTTTTTGTTTTTGACAAACGTGAAGCTCATATAGCCCACTTCATCATGCTTATACCAATTTTAGTACAGTTTTATTTTTATAATCTTTTTTACATATCTTTATACAGGGGTTAGCCATTTAACAAAAATATCACTCACGGCCACAACCCTCTACTGTAGACTGCTACCTAAGGATAAAGACAATGAAGAAAATGCGTAGAGTATCTTGTTTAATATTTTGCCCAATCATCGTTTCTGAATATGAATAACATATCATAACATGGATTGAAGTGTTAGAGGGGCGATAACGCTGTTAACGTTCCCCTGAACGAAATGTTAACACGGCTAAATGTAGCTAATTTGCCGCATATAACAGCGATTTGAGTACGAAAAAAACGTCTTCAGAACTTTTGCTGAAACTTTCCAAGTTTGTAGAACTCAGCGCTATCTACCCCCTTGTATATCTGTTATATCTTGGGAAAATCTAGTTATGGTGATTGTAACGATATGTGGAATTGTTTACTGTTGTGCAACCTTGCTGTATGTATTACGTCCCCTTGTATGAACGACTTCCGGGACTCCGTGGTGAACCCCACTGGAATAAAAGATGTCAGCAGAACTTCACGTGTTTGTGATTTCTCCATCTTAGAGTCACGATAATGTTTACCAAGACAGAGTAGGAAACATTACATGGTGTCAGAAGTAGGGAAAAAGAACTGACAATGGCCTTGTCAGGCACCAAGCGCCCCAGATGGACTGGAATTCAAACAACCTGCCAGAAGATTGGAAAAAGTTCAAGCAGCACGCTGATCTCATTTTCACCGGACCTCTGTAAGACAAAGACCAACTAGTACAGAGGACATACATCCTTTTATGGATCGGTCAAAGAGGAAGAGACATATACAGCACGTGGACTTTCACTGAAGGAGATGAGAAATTACCGGCCCCACTCTACGAAAAGTTTGAAACGTACGTACAGCCTAAAGCTTACGTTGTGTTCGCCAGATTCAAATTCAATAACATTGTCCAAAGTGCATTAGCATTTGACGAGTTTGTCACCAAACTACGAATGTCGGCAAAGTCATGTACTTTTACAGACGCGGACGAAATGATAAGAGATCGCATCGTATTCGGTGTTACGTCCCAGAAAGTACGCGAGAAGCTCATAAACGAGGGTAATGAACTGACCCTAGATAAAGCCATAACGATTGGACAAGGGTGATAGTACGCTTTGACACAGCTCCGGACCATGAAACCAGAATCGTCGACATCGGATACCGCCATACACGCCGTACGGACCAAGAGAGGCAACTCTTACAGAAAGACAGGGAGACCCAGAGACACTCGCCAAACCCGGGACTCACGATCAACGCATGTACAAAATTCAAATCATTCACAGAACTCTCGTGATCAACAAAGAAGAGAAGAGTGTGGAAACTGTGGCTACAAACATTCTGCGAAGAACAACTTTAAATGCCCAGCAAAGGGTGAACAGTGTTTAAAATGTAACAAGAAAAATCACTTTGCTGCTAAATGTAGGTCTGTTGCATGTGTATCGGTAGAGAGTGAATCAGAGTCATTGGGTATAGATTCAGACGAATTTTATGTCGATGTTATTAACACCCAATCCACTCCATTTCCCAACCCCAAAGACCAAGCACTTGTTGACCTTGAGTTAGGACCCCACCAAAAAGGCTGTCGCATTTAAATTAGACACAGGGGCACAGGTAAACGTCATACCTTTCCACATACTTGATCATGCATACCCAAAGCACACATTACGTAAGTCGGACAAGCGTCTGTCTTCATACAATGGCTCACCGATCAGAACCCTGGGTTGTTTTGATATGCAGATAAGGTATAAAGGTCAATGTGTAACTGCAGAAATATATGTGACCGATACTGCACTTACCTCCATCTTAGGTCTCCAAAGTTGTTTAGACCTACAGCTTATCAAATTGGTATATGCTGTAAACCAGACCCCTGGTAGTGGTAGCCAGACCCCCATGTTAACCACACAACCCCAACATGCTCAAGGTAAGTCGCCTCAAACCAACCCGCACTACAAACTACCCTTTGACAAAAAGTCTGTCCTGTCTGAATACTCCGATGTATTTACAGGCATTGGTCAGTTTCCAGGTAACTGTACCATCCACATAAACCCGGATGTACAACCAGTTGTAAACCCCCCTCGTAAAGTTCCAATAGCCCTCCGTGATAAACTCAAAGCTGAGTTGGAGCGAATGGTGCAGGCTGAGGTCATAGTTGAGGTAAACGAACCTACACCATGGGTCAACTCCCTCGTAGTCGTAGAAAAGGCTTCAGGTAAGTTGAGAGTATGTTTAGACCCTCAAGGTCTAAATAAGGCCATAAGGCGTCCCCACTACCCCATGAAGACCCTAGAGGAGATACTGCCAGATCTCTCGAGAGCACGTTATTTCACGAAGCTCGATGCACGTTCAGGCTATTGGGCCCTGAAGCTACTTACCACTTTCAACTCGCCCTTTGGTAGGTATCGCTTTCTACGCATGCCCTTTGGTGTTCAGTCCGCACAGAATGAATTCAAATGTGCGATCGATAGCAGTTATGAAGGCTTGACCGGTGTCAATGCCATAGTAGACGACATACTAGTGTCTGGCAAGACCAGACAGGAGCATGACGAGAACCTACGAGTAGTTCTAGACAGAACCAGATCAGTAGGTACAAAGCTCAATGATGACAAACTAGAGGTAGGAGTCACTAGTGTATGCTATTGTGGTCACCTGCTGTCCGAGACTGGACTACAGCCAGACCCTGAAAAGGTGGCTGCAGTGCGTGACATGAAACCACCACGTGACAAAGGTGAGCTAGTGGCAATACTAGGCATGATAAACTATCTTGCTAAGTTTGCCCCAAACCTGTCCCAGGTTACAAACCCCTTAAGAAGTCTTTTGCCCAAAGACATTGAGTTTGTATGGGAAAGCCAACAAATGGAGGCATTTCAGAATGTGAAAAACCTCATAACACAGAGCCCTGTGTTAGCATACTTTGACCCTGATGAACCTGTTACCTTAAAAGTTGATGCATCGAAGTATAGTCTAGGCGCCAGCCTACTACAACACGGTAAACCTGTAGCTTATGCATCAAAGTCTTTGACCCCTTCAGAAGTCCAATATGCACAAATAGAAAAGGAAATGTTTGCAATTTTATATGGTTGTAAGCGTTTTCACCAATATCTATATGGGAGACTCATCGATGTCGAGTCTGACCATAAGCCCCTCGAGTCAATTCTCAAAAAGCCTATCGGCGTAGCCCCTGCACGCCTGCAGAGAATGATGCTGCAACTGCAAAAGTACAATGTCAGTGTTAGACATGTCCCAGGAAAACAAATTTCCGTGGCAAATGCCTTGTCCAGAAAGTTCGTGCCTGATACTTACCCTGAACTCCCTGAAGGTATGGATGTCGAAGTCCACACTGTCGTGTCAAATTTACCCGTTAGCTCTCGTCGCATGGACGAAATCAGACAACATACTATGTCTGACCCCCAAATGGCCACCCTTACCAAAATCATTCAAGATGGTTGGCCAGATCAACGGAGAGACTGTCCGTTGTCTATTATTGAATATTGGAACCTTAGAGATGAAATGACAGTCATCGATGGTATCAATTTCAAAGGCACAAAAATAGTCATACCAACAGGATTGAGAACAGTCATGTTAGACCTTCTACATTCTGGTCACATGGGTGTGGAGAAATGTCGTAGTCGAGCCAAGGATATCATGTTTTGGCCTGGCTTAAGCTCAGACATTTCTGATTTAGTCCTTAACTGTCCTACGTGTTTAGAATTGAGAAATTCGAACGCGAAAGAACCCATGCTACCCCGCGAGATATCTGCCCGACCATGGCAGATAGTTGCCACCGATCTCTTTGCTTGGAATGATCAGGATTTCGTAGTCGTTGTAGACTACCACAGTCGCTATTTTGAGGTCTCAAAACTTTCCTCCACTACAAGTGCAACTGTCATTTCCAAGCTTAAAGAAGTCTTCTCGGGGCATGGTATTCCAGAGAAACTTTTCTCTGACAATGGTCCCCAATACTCCAGTGAGAAATTTCGATAGTTTGCAAAAACTAGGGATTTCAACCACGAAACCTCTAGTCCCCACCCCCCCCCCAGTCAAACGGTTTAGCAGAGAAAACTGTCCAGACTGTCAAGCGTCTATTTACAAAAGCTTAGGCTGATGGTAGAGACCCCTACATTGCCCTACTAGAATACCGTACAACCCCTCTCGACTCCGGTTTCTCACCATCCCAGCTACTGATTGGTCGTCGCCTACGTTCGATTCTACCTTCATCATCAGAACAGCTTAAACCTGTGACCGTAAATACATCACTAAACACTCAGAAAACACAGGAAAGGAAGTATAGACAGAAAAACTACCATGACAAGTCCTCAAAGTCTCTAAACCCACTAGATGTAGGCGAGACTGTTAGGATTAAACGTGATGGTAGGTGGAAACCTGCAGTAGTTACAAAACAGGAGAATGCCAGATCTTACACTGTGTACACACCTGATGGAGGTGTATATCGCAGGAATAGGTATCACATTCTTAAAACTAAGGAAACAGCTCTAGACTATAACCCACATGAGGCTCCAGTTATCCTTACATATTCTCCAACACACAAAATGTCCAGTTTACCACAGAAACCAGAAACCCTACGGAAACCATAAACCCCTAAAAACCCAGAATCCCCAACGCAACCTGAATTTCCAAAGATGTTAGAAACTGAACCACTCATTCCAACCTCTCCACAGCGTTTATCGAATGACTCTGGTTACATCACTCGCTCTGGTTGCCAGTTGAAACCAAATATCAAACAATCTATGTGATAATTTTGTGATGAACTAAATTTACAGACATAAACCTTGATGTACTGAGTTATGAAATATATCATGGATGTGATTATATTAATGCATAATAACATGACATATTGATAATATATATGTGTTTATCTAGTCCAAAAACATTGTGTCAAACTATATTGTGAAATATTGATCATAAACATTATACTTATATGTTAGTTATTGAAATAGTTAGTATTGTGGAACATTGAACAGTTACTGAACTTATCCATTGAATGGTAATAGAATGAAGCAAATTAAGACATTAACTTTAACGTGTGCACTATTATTATTGCTGATCATACAGAAGAAAGATTAAAAGAAGGGGATGTAACGATATGTGGAATTGTTTACTGTTGTGCAACCTTGTTGTATGTATTACGTCCCCTTGTGTGAACGACTTCCGGGACTCCGTGGTGAACCCCACTGGAATAAAGGATGTCAGCAGAACTTCACGTGTTTGTGATTTCTCCATCTTAGAGTCACGATAATGTTTACCAGGACAGAGTAGGAAACATTACAGAGATATTTGGTGTAAAATACGCCAAAACGGCATTTTGACCATTAGTAGCTGTATGATTCACCCTGGAGAATTAACGCTTAAAGCTGACGAACTGAAACTCCAAACATAAGGAGTCCAAGTTTTCATAAAGACAACTTTATATTTGGTTTTTCGAAACCTTTCATAGAACGACCCTGAGAGGGTTTCGAAAATGGGGTGTATTTCTGGGGTTTCGTGGAATTTTCCAGAAGATCCGATTTCCCCGTAGTCAAGCGCCAACTTGGGTACCCCCTCTTGGCTAGAATTGAGATAACAGTTTGTTGCGCATGCGTTAAATACGAAGAAATGTTCCAGCCGCTTATCCGGTTCAACTTGTAGCGGTGAGTTAGATGGAATTTTGACTTGTGCCAGTAATTTCTACCATTTTAAGATATTCTACGTTATGGCTATTTTACAACGATCAATGTTTGCTGCTGATCACAATCATGCATGTAAGATATGACCCAGCGTTTAAAATATATAGCAAAATCCCCACATGTTTATTGACGTTGCGCAACAGACGCGATACAGTTCTCGTTTCTTCAATTTTTACTTTCGTTATTTTTTGTTTCTACGTTCAATTAAATTAAGATTTCGGTGTGTGAAGCCTGTTCAGTGTTTGTGGTAATCTCTCATTTGTGATAATTTGTTTACGTCTAAAAATAGCCACGGTCAACCCCATCTTTGGGCACAGGGGCTTGCAACGATTTATATGTGATAAGAATAAAAATAGTGAGAAAAAGTACGTAAATGTACAGTACATTACATAACATAATGTTATTTTATGTACAGTTACGTATTTTTTCTCACTAATTTCATTCTTATCACAAATAGATCGTTGCTTGCCTCTGTGCTTGAGGAGACATCACTACACGCGCGACTAGCATATTACCTGAGCATTTATTACAAAGATTATAGGTTTGACAATTACAACGATGACTGTAATGAGTCTTTATCAGAAATTGTCACATTTTTGGGGAAAAGGAAAACTCGAAACAAAGTCCTGTGCTGTTACTGCATTTTTTTTTCATTTACAGTATAAACACATCAAATGAATTTAATAAACATTTCAAGTGTTATTTCATAAAAAATGTTGTTTTGGTAAGTATGCATATAACCAAAAAATATCACACATATTTAGAAAATTTCCATCCTGTTACCAATACCATTAAAGTTTTTAGCAAGAAAAAAAATAAATAAAAAATAGATGAACTTATTCTTGTGCTAAAATATCAATGTTCTAATTAATTTCACATATTACTGTTTCAAAAAATCTGTGGTCGAACGGCACTGTTTAGATTCCAGAAATAGGGATCACCGAAGCGAGAGCTAAATTAATCACGCTGTTGTACACCTCCAGTCGAGGTAAATTGGATTATTTATTTAATCATTACCCATGTTATATAATTAGTCAAAACGGATGAAGCAGTTATTTTTGCACCTTTTCAACCCGATAAACTGAAATATATATTGATATTCACTTCTTAATCTTACATAAACGTTGATTAATTACAAGCGCTGACATCCGAGTCGATCGAATTTCTACAATTTTGACAATAAATCTGATAAATTTTGATTGAATTCAGAGACGATGATGAACAAAGAGTGTATGAGGTGACATGCAATCAAAGCAAATTCCTGTTAAGTTAATGTCTGAAGTTTGAACAACCGTGGCTCTTAATCGACGACTACAGAATAGTTACTTGCTTGTTTATATGATAAAATTGACTATGATTACTAGTGATTGTACTGTCAATTACTTGCGATCTCCTTGTATAGCTATTACATGGTAACAAGTCGCTTTCGATTGTTATTACAGAGGTTTTGCAACTTTACGGGTACTTGTGAGCTACAGTACGCGTACAACTATATTCTATGATTACATAAAGGACCGTCCACATGTACATGTAGCATGTAAACTGTGACTTTTCAACTTTCTATCGTAATATGAAAAGGCAAAGCCTAAAAAGAACTCTACAAAGCTGTTTTGGCAGAAAATGCAATCGAAATTATCTGTGTGAGAAAAACCGTTTATTCCACCAACAGGCAAAATGTAATAATGCAATGCAATAAACCATAAAGTAATATAAAGCCGCAGGCGCTATTAACATACAGTCTGGTCACTATTATCCATACAGTAGCACAAATGCTTTCGTTAATGTGTGTTTTGAATTTCTAAATCATTAAATTAAGAAAAAATACATAAACCATGTGTGGTATAAAATATCACATTGTAAAAATAACACTGTTGTATGTAATATAAAAAAATGAACTTGAAATACAGGCGTATTGGGTATATATATGTACATAATTAGTCTGTGATACATGTAATAACAAATATAGAATATAATCCTGACTATTGTGATGTATAAAATACTTCCCAGGTCAAAATGTCTTTCCTGTTGGGGTATTGCACAACCATAGCCTAGTTCCACATTCCTTACAACCTTTCTGGTCCAGGTATTCAGATAACATCGCAAGTTCAACCGCTCGTCTTCCCTGAGACCATGTTAAAAAGTTATTGACGTATTCGTAATCACTAGTACTGGAGGGATGGTCATCGGACGTCGGTGTCAGCGTCGGCTTATCAGTAAAATTGCCAGTAAGCTTAGTAGAGCCTCAGTAGCCAGATTATATTCAATGTGTGAACGAGTGTCACTTTGTTTCATCACAAAGTCGTGTTCCAGTGGCGGATCCAGAGATGTTTTTTGGGGCTTCAGGAGGATATATCAACTTAACCATTGGTATTTCTTTGCAAATCTAGGTATTAGAGCAGATTTTCTTAAAATACTCTTAAAAATTCTTGTGTAACCCCCCCCCCCCCCCCCCCCCCCTTGTATAATAACCATGTGACAGGGAAAGAGTATGTCACCTTCTGCCTAAGGACCAACTCTCCACAGCTATTGTCAAGGTCATAGCTAAAGTTCCAACACTCAATTGCTGTTGCCAAGGTCTCAGCTAAAGTTCCAACTCTCCACTGATATTGCCAAGGTCACAGCTAAAGTTCTAACTATCTACCGCTATTGTCAAGGTCACAGCTTAAGTTGTGTTATAGCATGTGCAAAATGGGTACTCCTTATCATTATTTAACTCGACATTCAATAGACTTTCGACATTCTTAACCCCTTCCCTTACGATATCATTCAAAATTGTTACAAAGCAACACCATTGGTATGTTACTCTAATGGTATAACAACATAAAAACATAGATAGTACAAATGCTCGTTCTAAACATTGTTATTAGCTCACCTGGTCCGAAGGTCTCTGAAACTAAGAAGTGTATATCAACCATATTTGACTGGAAGCATCCCTAGGTAGTGGGGATTGAAAATTGCACAAATGATTGGGCTGCCCCCCAGGGGGCTGAGGGGCGGGGCCAAAAGGGGGCAATTTGGCTTTATTGCTACAAACGACTTCTTCTATAGAACTCTGCCATGGATATCAACCATATTTGACTGGAAGCATCCCTAGGTGGTGGGGATTCAAAATTGTACAAATAGTTGGGCTGACTCCCCAGGGGGCTGAGGGGCAGGGCTAAAAGGAGTCAATTTGGCTATGTTGCTTTAAGCGAATTCTTCTCTGGAACTAAGAAGTCGATATCAACCATATTTGACTGGAAGCATCCCTAGGTGGTGGGAATTTAAAATGGTGGGGCTGAGGGCGGGGCCAAAACGGGG